TTACATTTATTATTTCAACATGTGCAGACTGAAGAAATGTTTGAATGAGCTCCAGGCCACCTGGAAACTGACCTTGTTCCCAGCAAGTGTTGGGTACAGGAATATACACACTATTGCCAAGATTGGACCATTGGAAACTGAACAGTGCTATTGATTGCAAAGGTTTACAAATAGAAATGAAGTGGTATTTTTTTTTAAAAAAAACAGTAAGACTTACAGAAAGAGGTTAGATTTTTCCATAAGAAATTTCAAACCAGCCACAGGAAATAACTGATGCCTTATTTATAGTCCGGATCTGGCTACCAACACAAGCACTGAACTCAGCAGTAATTGGTGCCATAAACCTCGTGGATCAGTGTGTTTCTGGTGCTGTGAGTACCAGCTGAGGTGGTTTTTATCCATCCCTCTGAAGTTAGTGTCATGCGTTACTCAAAACTAAATTGAGGGTGCTGAAGGTTGCCAGTTACTAATGGAAGGCAAATGTGTTACCACAGAAAACAGGGTATAATTCATATTGCCTGAGACAAACAGAGCATGTTGCCACAACTGGCCTAATGCTGACTGAAGTTGGGTGAGTACAACTACATAATTTGCATTTCCAAATAACACTCTTAAGACATTACTTTTTTAAACAAATATTAATAAAATACTAGCTCACCTACCAATACACAATCACAACACTTTAAGGAAACTTTGCGAAGCAATTTGAGATATTTTTGATGTTACAGTACATGTTTTGTATAAAATGTAAGGATTTTTTAAAATAAAAAGCTATTCAGCTCCTTGGTAAGGAATACAATCCATTCTATTTCATTTTAGATCAGAAAAAAGATGAATTACTACTTTTTACTACACCAATTCGATTTCTTCCAGGCACATTTAATGTTTTCTTTATCACATCACAAGAGGAAACACCAAACAATTTTAATGGATTTGAAACATGTGCCAATATTTCTCATTGTTGAATCATCCCTTTTGTGCTTCGAAAATTACAAAGCACATCATGGTACTGTATTTATACATTTCACAGATTTCCTCTACACTCCTTTACTCCCGCTTTATTCCCTCTCCAACAAAACACTCACCATCCAAGACCTCATCATCGATGAAAACATCAACATTCTCGCCCTCACTGAAACCTGGATCACTCCAGGCGACACCTTCACCCTGATAGAGGCCACACCACCCGGCTACACCTTCCATCATACCCCACCTAACCGCCGTGGTGCCGGTGAGGCTCTCATCTCCCAGTCCCCGCTCGGCCTATCCCCTTACTCCTCTGGAACTTTCCCCTCCTTTGAGCACCTTACCCTTTATCAACCCTCCAACCTTTCCCTCAAAATTTTCCGTATCTAACGACCACCTCCAAGCCCTCCCCCACGTTCATTCCCGACATCACCACCCTCCTATTTACCCTCTCCCTCCGCTCCAAACGCCTCCTCATCCCCTCCTGCTGTACCTCTACTAACTTTTCCTCCCTTATCTCCTCCCTCAATCTCTCCCTCCACATCCACTCTGCTACCCAAGTTCGCAGTCACCTCCTTGACCTGGTGATCACTAGGAGCCTCACCGTCTCGGACCTCACCTCATCTCACCAAAGGAAGGGAAAAGTGATCTCGGACCATCACTTAATCTCCCTTAACTCCTCAATCCCTCTCCCCACCACCACCCAACCCACCTCCATCTCCTACTGCTCTTGGAAAAAAATCTACCCCCCCCCGCCCATCTGTCTCAGCTGCCTCGGAGTCAGCTGAACTCCTTCCCCTCTGGGCGTCCTCCCGCAATGACCTATCCTCCTCGATCACTTTTCTCCACAGCTCCCTCTCCCTCACTCTCGATTCCCTCACTCCCTCTCTTCTCGAACCAACCTCCACTCCCTTAAAGCACTGGCGCTTTCCGCTGAGCGCACTTGGCTTATAATCTTGTTCTTGTTGTGAAATCAAACCTAACTGTCTATCAGCAGATCTGGCTGGACAATATCAAATCCTACTGCTCAGCCCTCGCCTCCGCTAAATCGTCGTCCTACTCCAAGACAATCTTGGAGGCTGAGAACAACTCAAGGCTCCTCTTCTCCATCACGAATCGGCTCCTCCGCCTACCCTATCATGTCTCGCCCATCCTCACCTCAAATGCGAGGCGATGCTGGACTTCCTTGAATCCAAAGTCGAGGGAATCCATTCAGCTGCTTCTGCCACTGCATCTCCTACTCCCTCCCCATCTCCTCCTCCCACCCTACCACCCCTCCCTCCACACCTTTAAACCTGTCTCCCTCTCCTCTCTCATCACCACCATAACCCGTATGAAACTGATCACCTGCTCCCTCAACCCCATCCCTATCCCTCTCCTTACCTCCCAGCTCCACCTCCTTGACCCTCTACTCACTGACATCATAAATCTCTCCCTGTCCACTGGTACTGTTCCCACCCCATTAAAAACCACTGTCATTACTCCTATCCTGAAAAAACCCTCCATGGACCCTTCTCTACTCCCTAACTACTGCCCCATCTCCAACCTCCCTTTCCTCTCCAAGGTCCTGAAATGAGTTGTTGCTTCTCAGCTTCGCTCCTTCCTCTCCCGCCACTCCCTTCACAAACCCCTCCAATCGTGTTTCCATGCCACCCACAGCACAGAAACAGCCCTGGTCAAAGTGACAAAGGACACTCTGTCTAAATGCATTTTGTGTTGTTGTTGTTTGGTCTCCCTCCCACCTCTCTGCCTTCCCTCACCCCTACACCACCCCTCCCCCATGCTTGGGCTCCGACACCTGACTGTTCAGCGCTTTGGGACATCCTCCCGACGTGAAAGGCGCTCTTTAAATGTATTTTTGTTGTTGTTGTTAAAAATCCCGTGGCTCAATTGAAAAGAGAATGGAGTTTCTCTCCCAGTGTTCTGGCCAAGAATCCCCAGGTAAAATCGATAATTCACTGCAATTGGCTGTATCATTTCGCCCACAAAATATTGTCAATTCACTTTACAGTATATTCTGTGAAGTGCTTTGAGACGTCTCGAAGACGGGATAAGGCACTATATCAAATGCAAGGATTATTATTATTAGTCATAGCTGTTTTGTGGGCCATTGCTGCGTAAATCGGATGTTCTTGCTTGCCCTCAAATTACACCGTCGCTACACTTTATAGTAAATCATGTGCAGTGCTTCAAGCCGTTTCAACGATGTGCAGTATCATATGCAAATATTATGATTCTAATTTCTAATTTTAGGACGTCTGAAAGCGCTTGAGAGAAATTACTGTGAAATAGAGCGACAGTGTATTTGTAGGCAAACCCGGCAGCATACAACAACAACAACAAGATTCCGTTTATAGAGCGCCTTTCACGTCGGGAGGACGTCCCAAGGCCGGGGCAAGGGGGAAATAGTCAGGGTGAGGGGAGGGAAGGGAGGGAGCGAGGAGGGGGTAGAGAGTCGAGAGGGGAGCTGAAGGCACAGTCAAAGAGAAAGGTCTTGAGACCGGCCTTGAAGGAGGAAAGGGAGGAAGCGGCGAAGGCACTGGGATGGAGTTCCAGAGCCTCGGGGCTGAGAGGCTGAAGGCCCGGCCACCGATGGTAGGGCGGTTGGGGCGGGGGACGTGGAGTAGACCGGAGCCGGAGGAACGGAGGGTACGGGCAGGTAAGCATAATTGCACCCAGCAATTCCCGCCAACAACCCTGAAACTCACGACCAATTTTTATTTGGGGGTAATCGGTGGCCAGAGCACCGGAAGAGGGTAACTCCCTCCTCTTTTCGTCCACCTGAACAGGCGGCCGGGACCTCGGTTTACCCAGCAGTAAGCAGGGACCCGGTTGCATTGTCGATGGGCGGATCACTCTTCCGGGGGCTAAAAGTTCCTTTTTTTTAAAAAAAATAATAATAATAAATCGGGTCACTCGCTGCACCGCTGTTTGTGGGACATTTGGCCCACGTTCACTTTCACGGTACATATGGTCTGTGCAGCTCTTTGCGACGTGTATTATCGGAGGCAATGATAAGGCGCTATATCAGGTGCAAGGATTATTATTATCAATATTATTATTATTATTATGATACCTAAAGGACGGCACCTCCGACAATCCCCCCCACCCCACCCCACCGCACCGCAGCCCACCCCCCGGCACTGCAGCGGAGCCGTCGTTCTTGGGAGACGCCGCGAGTTCAAGTCGCAACTTGGGGGCTTGAACCCACAAACACCTCCAACTCACTCGGGGGGTGAAAGTGCAATGACTGGGGGTCAGACTGAGGCACAGGGGGAGGAAGAGGAAGTGAGGGGGAGAGAGGAGGGAGGGAGGAGGAGGGAGTGTGAGGGAGGGAGGGAGGGAGGAGGAGGGAGTGTGAGGGAGAGAGGGAGGAGGGGGAGAGAGAGGGAGGGAGGGAGTGTGAGGGAGGGAGGAGGGGGAGAGAGAGGGAGGGAGGGAGTGTGAGGAGGGAGGGAGGGAGTGTGAGAGAGGGAGGGAGGGAGTGTGAGGGAGGGAGGGAGGGAGGGAGGGAGTGTGAGGGAGGGATGGAGGGAGAGAGGGAGTGTGAGGGAGGGAGGGAGGGAGGGAGGGAGTGTGAGGGAGAGAGGGAGGAGGAGAGAGAGAGGGAGGGAGGGAGTGTGAGGGAGGGAGGAGGGGGAGAGAGAGGGAGGGAGGGAGTGTGAGGGAGGGAGGGAGGGAGTGTGAGAGAGGGAGGGAGGGAGTGTGAGGGAGGGAGGGAGGAGGGGAGAGAGAGGGAGGTGGGAGTGTGAGGGAGGGAGGAGGGGAGAGAGAGGGGAGGGAGGAGGGAGTGTGAGGGAGGGAGGAGGGGAAGAGAGAGGGAGGGAGGGAGGGAGTGTGAGGGAGGAGGGGGAGAGAGAGGGAGGGAGTGTGAGGGAGGGAGAGAGAGAGGGAGGGAGTGTGAGGGAGGGAGGAGGGGGAGAGAGAGGGAGGGAGTGTGAGGGAGGGAGGAGGGGGAGAGAGAGGGAGGGAGTGTGAGGGAGGGAGGGGGGAGAGAGAGGGAGGGAGTGTGAGGGAGGAGGGAGTGTGAGGGAGAGAGGGAGGAGGGGGAGAGATGGCGGCGGGGGGGCAGGAGGTGCTGGTGCAGTGCCCTGTGTGTCAGAGGGGAATGCAGAGCCTGAGGATCAATGCTCACCTCGACCACTGCCTGGGGCGGCCCGAGCCCGAGCCCGGGGCCGGGGCCTACAGCAGCAGCAGCAGCAGTAGCGAGGAGACGCCCAGCAAGAGACGGCGCCTGTCCCCGGGGCCGGCAGCGGGGGAGCCGGGCTGCAGCCACCCGACCCCGGGGACCCCCGGCCCGGCCCCGGGGACCCCCGGCCCGGCCCCGGGGACCCCCGGCCCGGCCCCGGGGACCCCCGGCCCGGCCCCGGGGACCCCCAGCGCCGCCGCGTCCCTCTTTGCTATTTTCCAGAAAGCCCCGAAGGCGCCTCTGGGACTCGCGGCTTCTCGCCGACCCCCCGCCCACACTCGGGGCTGCAACACACCCGAGGCTTCCCCCGCGGCTCCTCCTGCCATCCCGAGACAGGGACAGGGAGAGGGACAGGGAGAGGGAGAGGGAGAGGGACTGGGACAGGGACAGAGCCTGAGACAGGGAGAGGGAGAGGGAGAGGGACAGAGCCTGAGACAGGGACAGAGCCTGAGACAGGGACAGAGCCTGAGACAGGGACAGAGCCTGAGACAGGGACAGAGCCTGAGACAGGGACAGGGACAGAGAGAGGGAGAGGGACAGAGAGAGGGAGAGGGACAGAGAGAGGGAGAGGGACAGAGAGAGGGAGAGGGACAGAGAGAGGGACAGAGACAGAGAGAGGGAGAGGGACAGAGAGAGGGACAGAGACAGACTGTGGGTCAGAGCCTGAGCCAAACACAGATCCCAAACCAAACACAGATCCCAAGCAGAGCCCCAAACCAGACGCAGACCCCGACCCAACGTCTCTTGTCTCTGGGAGATCTTGAGACCAAGCCTCTGGCGGAGCTCATGAGACCCAGTGTCTTAGAAGCGTTGGTCGGTCAACATAAAGCCTTGGGAGAGAACACTCTCTTGAGGACTCTGCTAGAATCGCATGAGATCCCATCTTTAATTTTGTGGGGTCCACCGGGATGTGGTAAGGTGAGTACAGTAACTACACAAGTGCGTGGCCGTGAAGGGTGCAAGGCCTCGACTGTGAACAACGACAATTTTCACTTATATAGAGCCCTCCACCCAGGCTAGCGTCTCGGAGCGCTACTCGAGAGCTTCCTTTTCAACCTGGGAGCGCTCTTGCCTCGGAGACGCAAAGTTGCGCTCCGCATTGGGACTTTGAACTCCCTATGGTGTAGGCTGAACGCTCCCCAATGCACTGTCGAGGGGTGCTGACCTGAGGTTGAGGCGTTACATTGAGTTTCCGTCCTACTGACCAGGTGGATGTCAAAGATCCCGTAACACTATTCCAAGAGAAGGGAGTTTCTGCGTTCACCACAAAAGACACAATCCCTGTACTTTGCGGTAAAGCCTTTGAAGCAATTTGAGTCGTCCTGATGTGAAAGGCCCAGTATACAATTTAATGATTATTATTACTATTAAGTCCTCCAATTCCTTTACGATAATTGGCACTGTTGTGGACTGACTGACCACAGTAAGGCCACCACACATCCCATCAGGTATTTCCATCAGGATTGTCCAGTGACATTGTGTGACCCCATTTCCAACCCCCAATAAAGCAGATTCCAAGCAGAGAAGTTTGGCAAAATCACAGCAAAATATACTAGGAATGGCTCCGGGGCTCAGGATAAGTCATAATAGCCACTGGGACAGGGTGACAAAATTGCCTAGAATTGCCTTTGAATGAAACGTTAAAGTGAAGTCCCATCTGCCTATTCAGGTGGACATGGCACTATGCGAAAAGAGAAGGGACTTTCTCCTGGTGTCTTGACCAACAATGCCACAAATAAAATTGGTCATTCATTTTATGGCTGTTTGTGGGACATTGCTGTGAGTCTACAATTATGCTGACCCGTTCTTCTACATATACAACAACTTGCATTTATATAGCGCCCTTCATGCCAAGTAGTGCCCCGGAGCGCTTAAATACATAGTCCATTTTACAGTAAATCTTGGGAAGCATTTTGATATATTTGTCTGACGTGATAAAATACTATACCAAATACAAGGATTGTTATTATTATTACAAAATACACAGTCACTACATTTTGCAGTAGAAGCATTTTGAGATATCCTCCCAATGTGAAAGGCACTATTCCAAATGCAAGGATTGTTATCCCAATTCATCTGGTACAATAAACAGATAAGACCAACACATTCTATTTAATTTGGAATTAGTGTCCTACATCTATTCAGTTTTAATAATCCAGGAAGTCGAACCAATTGATGGGCATGAGTCAGGAGTGTAGTGTCACCATTAGATCAAAGATTGCAAGATTAGTTTGGTTGAAGAAGGGCTTTTAGACCAGCTGATCTCATTCTTCCGAAATACTCAGCCTACAACAACAACAACAAAATTACATTTATAGAGCGCCTTCCACGTCGGGAGGACGTCCCAAGGCGCTGGATAGTTAGGGGTCAGGACCCGAGCAGGGGGGAGGGGTGGGGTAGGAGTGAGGGAAGGTAGGGAGGTGGGAGGACGACTGAAGGCACGATCAAAGAGGAGGGTCTTGAGATCAGCCTTGAAGGAGGCAAGGGAGGAAGTGAGGCAAAGGGACTGGGGGATGGAGTTCCAGAGTGTGGGGGCAGAGAGGCTGAAAGCTCGGCCACCGATGGTAGGGTGGGTCGGGCGGGAGACATGGAGCAGGCCGGAGCCCGATGAACGGAGGGAGCGGGCAGGTTGGTAGGGAGTCAGCAGGTCAGAGAGTTAGGAGGGAGCAAGGCCATGAATGGCCTTGAAAGTGAGGACGAGGATCTTGAATTCGATCCTTTGAGGAATGGGGAGCCAGTGGAGTCGGGCGAGGGTGGGAGTGATGAGGCCACGGAGCCTGGTGGACGAGAGTACATGAGCTGCACAATTTTGGATGATCTGCAGCTTGTGAAGGGAAGAGTTAGGAAAGCCAATGAGGAAGGAATTTCCATAATCGAGCTTTGATGTGATGAATGCGTGGGTGAGGGTTTCGGCAGCCTGAGGGGTGAGGCAGTGGTGGAGTCTGGCAATGTTGCGGAGGTGGTGGTAGCAGTGCCAGTCATGGCGTGGATGTGGGGGAGAAAGGACAGTTCAGGGTCAAACGAGACACCCAGATTCCTGACTGGCTTAGTGAGGTTTGAGTGTTCAGCCGTGGATGCTGATGCTGCCAGCGCCCTCGATGGTTTGCTCTTTTTTCTACATAAAAGATTTATTTTAAAAGAAAAGGTATTTCCAAGTAAGCAGTATTAACACTAAATATCATGTCCAAATATCTTTTAAAATCCAAAGTTTATAATCACAAAGCTTTCCATTGAGAAATACAATTCATCCACTTAGTTATCCTACACAGTTTTTGCCTATTCAATGTTTTATCCACATTGAACCAATGCAAGCTACAAGCATAACTAGCATTTCAGCAGTTCCAATTTTCTTTTTTTTTAAAAAGCGCCATCCACTTTCAAAATAGATGAGTAAAAGTTCCCATAAGTATAATCCGTATGTCCTGAAGTTTGGGGAATTATGTTTGCTAGCCTCTGCTAAGAGCCTGCTCCTCACTATTCTGCTTACTGGAATTGGAACGTGTGTGGTCACGGGCTGTACCACATAGGTTTCTGGTTACTACGATACAGACCTGATGATTACAGACTGAATGCATATACTGCAAAATACTATGAAATTAAGGATAATAGCTGATGTCATTGGCAGAATACTGCATATTAACAGTGTGAGAGTTCTTAGTGATTATTTTATCCATTTAAACAGCTTTTTGTATCCAAGTCAAAAATGCCTAAATTCCACGACAGTCAATCAGCATCTGAAAGGAAAACATAGGTTTCGCTTTAGGACGATGACACGATATAGAATCCTGTATATTTCCGATTCTTTTTGACCTGCTGTGGATTTCCAGGCTTTCAGTTTCAGATTTCCAGCTTCCGCAGTTTTATTTCAACAATTTTGACCTTTTGAGATCAAAAAATACTTTCCAAACAAGCTGTGAATGCTTCCAAAAAAGCTGTACCCTTTTCTCCCTCCTCAATTTTCACTTTGTGTGATGTTTCCATCTTTGAAACTTGTGTCACATAGGTTTAAATGCAGTGTGGTTAGAGGCTCTCCTTTGACCGATGAGCAAACAGAATGTGCTCTAATTAATACTTCATAACGTAGTTGAGATGCAGCACATATAAGGTCTCATTTGGTTTCCAAATTCTCCCAGACCTGATCACCACCACCTCCCCCCCACTTTTACACACATGCGCCTACTACAATACACAGACGTGACAGCTTTTCGTTTCCAAAATATTTCATGGTCTCATTTGGTTTTTAATGAAATTTCTAAACACTGTGTGCTTTGGTGCAGACACTTCTACAGGAACTGCTAAACAACTGTGTCGATTCGTAAATCAATTACGTAAATTGAAAGTTTTGCACAAGTGCACGTGAACGGCCTTCATAATATTTAATAATAATCTTTCCATTTGGTATAGAATCTCTCATTTTGGGAGCGAAGCTCTTCACAGGATTTGCTGTAAAGTGTAGTGACTGTGTATTTTGTAGGTGAACGCCAACGTGCTCACATCCCACTCTTCTATCTGCCACCTTCGCTTAGCGGATACAGGTCTGCTGCACGACCCTCTTCCCTTCCGCTCCACAATTAACAGCCGTGCTTTCAGCCACTAAGGATCCAAATCTCTGGAGCTCCTTGTCTTAATCCCTCAGTCTGGTTCCTTTGCTCGTCTTCAAATCGCACCTGAAAACATTCCTCTTTGACAGTGCTTTTCGTTACCTCCCTGCCCCCTTCCGGCTCGACATCAAGCCAGGACACTGTTAAGAGCTCTGTGACGTTGCCCCATGAAGTTTGCTGTATAAATGTAAGGTGGTGTTCCCTGCTCGTGTCTGGCCCCGTTAGTACTAGGTGAATAGGTGAACTAGGTCTATATGAATCCAAGTTAATATTGATCTTGATCTGGGTCAGTAAAAGTTGTCCGATTGGAGATTGTTTACTATATGTCCTGAATCTGTAAGCTACTTTTGCCAGCCAGCCGCCCTCCCCGGCTCGGCATCAAAGTCTGCTATTGTTGAGCACTCCCAAGATGTTACCCCTTGTAAAATGCGCTGTATAAATGTAAATTGTTGTTGTTAATTGTGTATCAGCGAAGCCAGGTGGGCTGGTAGTCACTGACCAAATTGTTAGCACAAAAACGGAACTATGTCAATAAAGCTTCCTTGTAAATTCACAGCACTTATTTAAAAAATTCTAGAGTGGTTATGATGTGGCAAGTTACTTGTATGGTTTCCATGGTGGATGTAAATGACTTTTGTACATGCAACTTTTACTAGTAATTTCGCCAGTTATCTATTATTGCTGATTTAATGTAAAGAGAGTTTGTATCTGCTAAACAACTGAGAGATTTAAAAATCTTTAAACGTTATTTATAGTTTTGTTTTAAATTTAATTTTGGCCGGGTACAGGTCTGATTTTGCAGGGTCAGTGTTGACTGAAATATTATAGTCATTATATTATACTTAAAACATGACAGCCTGGCTTTGCAGTAGTATTATGTTTCACAAGCTTTATATATATAGTTTTATTGAGTTGCTCACTGATATATTTCATATGCTTAATCCATTTTCAAGTAGTTAAAGGGATCAGCAGAGCGGCAGAATTTCTTCACTTGTTTTGCTAACATTTTAAAATTGCCAATAAGAAAATGATATGTATAGCACATTTGTTTTTTTAAAAGTGCATGCAAGCCAGAGAAAGGCTTGTAAGTCGAATGATGAGTGGCAGCTGCAGTAGAAAAATGACAGTGGTACGCCTTATTCATGTGGGAAATGGGCTGATATACTTGCCTTTTAAATGAAATTTATTGCAAGAATTATTATATTGGCTATTGTGCCTGGAAGTGCTAGAAATAAACTCCCAAAGCAGTGATCGTAAAGCTGTGCTGAGATTCATGTTATGTGTAAAATTGTCTATGTCCTTAACTTTGCTTCCTTGCTCTGCATTGCTGAAATGATTTATTCTTAATTGCTTCTCTTCCAATTTATATTGTGGTATTTTTAGAGATGCTAAGGTCTTACGCTAGATGCATTCCATAAATAATTTGATATTAGGAGATCAAGGGCAATATTTAGCTTGTTATTGGGGGGGAAAAAACTTCTTAGAATGTTGTAGTGTAGAGTTTTCTGGTTTGGGAAGATCAGAAATAGTGATGGTATTAAAAACAACAATAATTTACATTAATCTTTGTCATGTTGGGAGGCCCTCTCAGCCTCACAACATGACAGCTCAGCATGACAAGTGTGACAGCTCAGTTAGTAGCATTCTCACCTCTGAGTCAGATGTAGAGAGTTCAAGTCCCACGTCAGGACTTGGACCACATGTGGTCTCGTTGACACTCCAATGTAGTCCTGTATTATTGGGGATGTCATCCTTTGGATAAGACTTTAAAACTGAGGTCACGTCAGGTGGACGTTAAAGATCCAATGGTACTATTCAAAAATAGAAGGGAGGTTCTCCTGGTGTCCTGGCCAACAATCGCCGAGATAAAATTGTTTCTTCACTTATGGCTATTTGTGGAACATTGCTGCATGCCCTTTGGATGCCCCGTTTGCCTATACCATATGCAGTGATAAGTCCCCCTTGATGTGAAATATCACATGTAAGGATTATTATTATTTATTATAATAATTAAGCACTTCATAGAACTGAGTAGGTATCAGCCTGGACATCTCACCATTGGTCATGGTGTCTATCTGTTTGCAGCCTAGTTTCATCTGCAACAAAATTACCTTTGGAAAGAGGCCGTGAATTTTACGAAGTATATTCAATGACTCTGTAGAGTAGCATTCAACGAATGCTTGAAATTCTGATTAGACGTAGTGGTAAGGCATCTGAGCTGCCCAAATTTGCTGGCCTGTTAGTTCAATTAAAAATTGGTGCAGCGGAGTGCCAGAGTGATGGAGTTCAAACTTTAAATCGTCACACCACTAAATTCCCAACCGTAGTCACGTTACCACCAGGAAGAAAAATCTAAGGAAGAGTAATTAATGTGTTGCTTGCACCCCTCACGGGGAAGATTCCGAAGCCTTGGATCCACTCCTGCCTTAACTGTTATTTGGCCCAAAAGGACCAAAGGGGGTGGGGTGAGGGATGCACAGTGGAGACACCTATATAAAGAGTGATTTGTGCTTTTAAAATAAAAGTTGCCTTAAAATTTCTACACGAAAATACGAAGCGTCTTCAGATATATATTATAATCCCTGAAATTTCCAGTTAAATTGGAAAACCAGGAAACTTTCAGTAAAATTGGGAAATCATGAAATTACTGAAATTAGGAGTCAGGGGTTTTGTGAAAAAGCAATAATTTTATCATATTGATAACCTTGCCTTGACATGTTAGCATTATCAACAAATACATAACAACGTAAAGCTTTATCCACTGCAAACAGACTGTGCAATGACAGCTTCACAGATTGACACTAGTCTCCACGTCCTCGACAATAGAGATGTCCAGTGATCCTCCTGTACAAACTCCTGTTTCACAGGCCCTGGAAGATCGCATGATCCAGATCAGAAAGCAAAGAGCTGCTGCACAATTGGCAAAAGTATCTCAGGCAGAGAGGATGGTAAGGTTGAGTTGGCTGATCTCCAAGCTGCTACATCTGAAAACAATGTGGCTATCCCCATCCTAGTATTGGGCAGGGGTAGAGGGAATCCCAGGAATGTTATCATTAATAGAGATTCAGACACTGACCAGTACAAGATAGCAGCGAAGCCCAGCATCCTGGTCTGTCACTATTCCAGGGACCAATTTGAGTTATGCTCACAAAGATTGTTAACAGAGTCCTATGTCAACCAGGACAAGTCAGGGTCGCTCCGTGAAGCTGTCATTGCACAGTCTGTGGTGGACAAGTCTTTACGAGGAGTAACTGTAGTCGGAAGACATTTCAGACCAATCATTGTAAATGCTTCAAAGCAAAGGTAAAATGTAACTCCTGGTGTCATTGAAGCCTCACTTGTGTTAACAAATGAACATTTGACTCATCAGTGAATTAAATGTCACATGAAGTTTATGATGAATAAATTATAAATGTTCATAATGTGTTATTTATTTATTTCGACCGTGCTTTTGACTACCCCGCTTTGCCCCCGCCCATCCTCCCGACGTGAAAGGCACTATACAAATGTAATTTTATTGTTGTTGATGATGCTAACAAGTGTTAAGTTAAATGATCACTTTTTCACAAAATTCCTGACTCTTAATTTCAGTGATTTCATGATTTCACAATTTTACTAAAAAGGTTTCACAACTGTACTGCAACATATATACATGTATATTGTTTTACAGAGATAGAAAGGATGAACAGGGAGGAAATTGAGTTATTTATGTAAAAGTTATGATATTAAAAGAGGTAGATGATTTGGATTGGGTGCAGAAAATGTGGAAACGTAGTTGTCGCTGAGCAATGATGTATTAAGGGGAGAAACCAGCTGTTGGGTGTGGAATAGGCTACCTGGTCCAGTGAAAACATACATTAGACCCTAATGCATTATTTTCGGATAAGGGAAGCATATGACAGAAGAAGCACAATGTATGAGTGACTTCAATTTACCAAAAGTTTGAGAATTATAATGGGAGTAAAAGTAGTGAAAATATGTTTTTGGGTGGGCATATAGCAGCACAATTCGAAAATATTTGAAAAGGGAAGCGAGTATCTTCCAGTGTCCTGGCCAACAATCCCCCAAATAAAATTAGTCACTCACTCCACAGCTGTATATGGGAAATTGCTGAGCGCAAACTGACTGCCACGTTCGTCCACGATATACACAGTCAATCCATTTTGCAGTGTGTCTATCCTGTGAAGCGCTTTGAGACATCTCACCAACGTGATAAGGCACCATTCTAAAATGCAAGGATTACTATAAATGGTCAAGTAACCTGCAAAAGGAGAAGTTAATATTTGACCTTGTATGTAACAACCAGGGGATGGTAGAAATTGTCACAATTGTCCAAACCTGTTCTGTTTCGTATGGACAGTTTCTAGCGGGGTTCTCCTCATAGAGATCAGGAAAAGGATCCCTGGTTGATTTTCCTCCCTCTAGCCCAAGGGCACTGAGGTGAATTGCAGCACCCACTTACTGTCTGAACCAAGATTGGCTCGTTCAGCACAGCCTAGGATTTAACCTGTGACATTCATACCCCAGAGTCTAGACTATTAGGGGAGCTAGCTCTGTGAGGTGTTTTTATTCAAATATAACCACTTCAGGGAGAAATCCACAATGCAAGATCAAATGGAGGTTAATTTTAATTATCCTAAATGCTTTAAAGATACATGTACAGTGCACCTTACAAACATTCACCGATTGTTCTTTCTTTGGATTTTTTTCAGACTTCACTTGCCCATATTCTTGCCCAAAACAGCAAAAAGCACAACAGCACACGATTTGTCAGTCTTTCAGCGATTAATGCAAACACTAACAACATTCGAGAGATGATAAAGCAAGCTCAAAATGAGCGCCGGCATTTCAAGAGGAAAACCATTGTGTTTTTTGACGAGATTCACCGCTTTAATAAGTTACAACAGGTAAAGGTAAAGCTTGTTTCTTCTGCAAAACAGTGCCTGCAACTCTTCACTGCAGACACTAGTTTACAAGAATTGATTTTTCTCAGGACCAGACTTAGATGTTCAGGATCTCAACAGTTTTCAGTATTGCAACCTTGGGAATCGAAATATTTCAGCTGAAAACTTACTGCATCATGATTTAAATGTTTCAAGTTTCACTTTAATCTTGCAGAATTCATTGAATAAAGTTTAAGAAAGCTTAAGATGACAGAGCTGTATATAATACTGCCCAAATACTATGTTCAGAAGCTAGTGTCAGAAGCTGACTTCTCCAAATATGTCTTTCACTTAAGAGCTTTACTAAATGCTCACGAGAGAAGGACATATTGGAGTTCAGAGATCCTTTAAACTGTCGACGTGTTGTGATACATTTTGAAAAGCAAAACTTACGTTTGCTGCCTCTTGATATCTTGTCCTTTTGCAGAGTGACCACTTTCGTCCTCTCTAACTCCCACCGCTTTTCTGCAGGACACTTTTCTGCCTCACGTCGAGTGCGGCACACTCACACTGATTGGTGCCACCACAGAGAACCCTTCCTTTCAGATCAATGCGGCACTGTTGAGTCGTTGCCGTGTCATCGTTCTTGAGAAGCTGTCAGTGGAAGCAATGGAAAGTATTCTGCTTCGTGCTGCAAGCTCCCTTGGGATCAGTGTTTTAGCCCAGGATAAAGAAGCTGGCTCAGTGGGGGGCAGCAAAGAGTCTGAGTAAGTCCCTGCAGAATGTAGCTTGTAAAAACAGAATGCCTGGAATCTGGTGGTGGGATGCCAGGACGCGATAATAATAGTAATAATAATAGTAATATGCTGCAAGCCTGACATTTCTAAAGAAATAAAGTGCACTGTTCTAATGAGACTAATGATGAGCACTTGGAACTCTTACAGACTGAAAGTATCTGAGCCGAATGAGAACAGCTTTTTATGTGTAATACTGCCAACAATAACAAATTGCATTTATATAGCGCCCTTCATGCAGGATAATGTCTTGGAGCTCTTAACAATGTCCGAGCTTGACCCCAAGCTAGGGAGAGGTGGGAGGTGACGATAGGCACAGTTCAAGAAGAAGGACTTCAGGTGGGAAAGGTGAAGTGATTCTATTGCTTTGGGACTTAGTGGCTGAAAGAGTGGCTGCCAATGGTGGAGCAGAGGGGACAAGGGACCTGCAGGATGCTGGAACCAGCTGAGCGCAGGCAGCGGGTAGTGGCATGGGGTATAAGCAAGTCCGAGAAGTAGGGAGGCGCCAGGGCGTGAAATACACAAGTGTGAGGAATTTAAAGTTATCTGTTTTTCAAGAGAACCAGTGGAGCCTGACAAGGACTGGGGGTATGGCATTTGGATATGGGTGGCAGAGTTTTGAATGAATGGATTTTATGGATGGTTGACCTGCTGTGTCTGGTGAGGAGGGCATTGGAATAATCAAAGCAGAAGGTGGCGAAAGCATTGGTAAGGTCTTCGGCTGTGTTGGGTGTGAGGTACAGTCGGAGTCGAGCAATGTGACAGAGGTGGAGCAAAGTGGTCCTGGTCAGGGATTGGATGTGAGGTAGGAATGGCAGCTGGGATCGAACCTGACTCCTGGGGTCCATACAGGTTCAGTATGTCTGAGGGATAGGCCGGGAAGATTAAGGAGTTTGAAACCGCAGATGAGAAGACATTGATGGGAGCTGAGGAATTTAACATCCATCTGAACAGGCAGGTGGGGCCTTGGTTTAATGTGTAATTTGAAGGACAGCACCTCCAAAAATGCAGAACATCCCAACTCTGGATGGAGTGTCATCTTAAGACTTAAGAGAGGCTGGATTCGGAATCTTTTGAGTCCGAGACAAGAGTGAACCAGGCTGAGACACAGGCACAAGTTGGAAAGAGCCAAGACCTGGGGTCCCTAGGGCTTGGTTGGGGTACTGCTGGAGTTTAACCAGCTAAAGCCATGTTAAAATCTCTTGTATGCAAATCATTGTTAAACCAGAAAGTGTGAGCCATAAACAGGTTAGCCAACCCCAAAGTGAGATTATACCCTAATCGACTGCACCATAAAAACAATGTACAATATTTCACCAACAGAAAAAAGACACTGAAGCAGTTTGTTCCCGTTTTAGAAGCTAATGTCCAAGTGTTTTAATCTGGGGATTTTTCATAATAATCAGGAGGCATTTACAGCTGCCAAAAAATGTTCAAATTTGAGGGGACAAATTAAATTTCGCTAAACATTTAGCATTATTGTTTTTATTAAAGAAAAGCTGGTCAGGTTTTCTACAGTAATAAAGGTCTCACACGAAAGGATGCCTATTATTGTAATATTAACCCTAATGAACTAGAATAAATACAAAGAAATATGATTTGGATTATTTATCCTGTGCTTGTCCCGTCGGCCCCTTTTTTCCTTCTCTTTTCTCAATCTTTCTATTTTTTAAACTTTTTTACCCATTCATTTGTTTTTTTAATCTGTTTCTTCACCTTTCAGCTCCTACTGTCCGTTTTCAAAAGTAGGAAGCAATGTGTCTTTTTCTAAAAATTGGTTGTAAACTACTTTAACAATCTGATTTTGGAGTCAACTAAAAGCTCCAACAAAGGATAGGTAGTGCCAAGACATAGATGTGAACAAGTCATTCTTTGAGCCGACTATTGTATGATAATATTAATAAATAATCCTTACATTTGGTATAGCACCTTTCACAGCAGGAAGATGTCCCAAAGCACTTCACAGGGTATATTATAAAGTGGAGGGATAGTCTTTTGTGGATGAACATATAGAAGAGGAGCTCTAAGAGTTAATAAACGACAGCTGGCAACAAAGGCTGGTGGTTCTACTGTATCATTGTGTTTGCAAACTGAGTAGCTGCTTCAGAGGAATGCTTGTGGGTTTAAAAGCTTATGAACTTGCATTGTCATGGAAATTCAAATATATTGGGAATTGGAAAACAGAGTTGGACATCCCCTCCCCCTGTGTAAGTTCAGTACTCCTCTGATAAAGCTTTCCTCTTATTGCAAGACAGCAAGGAGCCCTATTAAAATGGTCTGTCTTAGTTCCCCTCCAACATTCTCTTTCCCTTTGCCCGACTGAAGTTGAAAGTTCCCACGAGTGCAGATTTCAGGGTACAGACTGTATGGTGAAGGCACATAGCGAGGAAAAACTCATTGAATGTAGCACATGCACTGTACTGTACCTACCCACATTAGGGTTAAGGATTTCTTTGAGGGAAAAAATCCTGCTGGCTGCAGTTTTTTTTTGTAAGTAGATTTGAACTAGACCAATCCTGCAGAGCATTATGAGACCCCTCCCCAACTCCCCACTAGCAAGAGTGAATATGTCTTTGTGGTGATTAATTTAACTGCTTTGTCTAACCAAAAGCAATTGTGACAATGCGTTGCTCTTTATTATTGCTTGTCTTTCAGTCCGTGCATTTGTATTGAACCTGAAGCTATTCGTACCATTGCGTACCTGTGCGATGGAGACGCGAGGACTGCATTAAATGGACTGCATCTTGCGATTCAAGGAAAACTCGCAGTTGCAAAAAAGCCACAGTGTGACAAACAGCAAAATACCTTATCAAAAAGGATAGTGATTCAGGAAGTGGACATAAAGGAAGGACTGCAGCGGTCACATATATTATATGATCGAGCAGGTAAGGCACTAAAGGTGCCACTTTCTTTGGAGCAAACTGAAATTGTTGTGGAACCCAGTATAAAAGTTATTAGGAGCCCAGTTAGTGTCGATTAGCAGATCGTTTTTCCGTGGGTACTCATCCCTAGCCAATTTTGGCAATATAGTTTAAACACTTGCAGGCAGTTTGAATTTTCCTTAGGCTATTTGGAGGATTGTGACAGATCAGTTGGTGTATCTGGTATTTGTTCTGAATAAAGTGGTTTTCAGTGTTTCACATCACGTTTTTTTTGCATATTGTTGGATAGGTCACCAAGGATCCTGAGAGATTAATTTTTTTTAAAAAATGTATCCATAGAAATAAATAACCTTAAATTATACAGAGAGGGGAAAGTTTTGCATTCCTTCACCTCACCTGTGTTGTGTGACTTAACCACTGTTCTGTCTGGAAAGAGTCACAACCAGCAGTGTTAGAGTCACCGTAATTTCCCTCTTCTGCAAACTTCAGCAATCAAAGCCTTTTATTTAATTATTAATTGCCCATATCCGCCACTGCCTCTCACCGCGAGCCGCCAAGACCCTGATCCATGCTTTCATTACGTTCCAGCTTGACTAAGCCAACTGCCTGCTCACTGGACTTCCCAACTCTTCCCTCCACAAACTGCATATTATTCAGAACTCCGGAGCTTGTGTCCTTTCCCACACCAGGCTCAACAACAACAAGACAACAAGATTCCATTTATAAAGCGCCTTTCACGTCAGGAGGACGTCCCAAGGCGCTGCACAGTTGGGTCATGACCCGAGCAGGGGGGAAATGGTCAGGGTGAGGGGAGGGAAGGGAGGGAGCGAGGAGGGGGAAGAGAGTCGAGAGGGGAGCTGAAGGCACGGTCAAAGAGAAGACCTATAGGTCAGGGAACCTATCACCCCCATTCTTGCCTGACTTCACTGGTTGCCCATTCCTAAAAGAATCGAGTACAAAACCCTTGTTCTTATCTTCAAGGCCCTCCACGGTATTGCTCCCCCTACCTCTCATAACCCCATATCAGCCTATCCGCTCCCTCCACTCGGGGGACACCAGCCTGATTCAGGCCCCCGCACTTCGCGCCCCACCATTAGCGGTCAGGCATTCAGCATCTCTGCCCCTACACTCTGGAACTCTATTCCGCAATCAGCTCCTCTCTTGCCTCCTTCAAGTCCCATCTGAAGACCTTCTTCTTCAGTCGTGCCTTCGGGCACCGTCCCACCCCCTCACCCCTGCCTTACTCCCCTTCTGACCCCAACTCCCAGCTCAGGTCCAAAACCCCTGATTGTCCAGCGCCCTGGGATGTCTTTCCGACGTGAAGGGCGTTATACAAGTCTAATTTGTTGTTAATGATTTTGTCACAAATAAACATTTCTGCCGATCAGACATCATGTCCTGTGTGTTTGATTCTAAGGTGAAGAACACTATAATTGTATCTCGGCCCTTCACAAGACCATGCGAGCCTCAGACGAGTCGACTGCCCTTTATTGGTTAGCGAGAATGTTAGAAGGTGGTGAGGACCCGCTCTATGTGGCACGGAGACTGGTGAGGTTTGCCAGTGAAGATGTAGGTGAGGCATTCTAAAATTGTTAAACGAAATGTTAAGACAAAGTATAATTTCAAGCCTTCAGTTCTAACTTCTTGTGTAAAAGTATCTCTCCCAAATGCTCTCTTCACAGAGGAGAAAATGTGTTTAATTATTTTGTTAGTCAGGTAAATGGGGTCCCCCTATCCTCCTGGGTGGGGTGGGGTGGAGTGGGGGAATGGATGGCTGAACTGGCTCCAAGATGATGTGTCTGGCAATGGGATGTCAGAATCGAGCCAGCCCTCTGTGGCAGTCTCGGTAGTCCAGTTCCTAAGCCAGGCGTGTCCGCAGTATTTCAGGGCATTGCTGATGACAGCACAGCCAACCTGGCTCATCGGCAGGACGTGAAAAAACAAAACAGTCACTGAGGGCAGTCACTGAGTCAACCCACTTAGCTCCTGTTAACCCTGCAAACCAAACCCTTACTGGGTAGGGAAATCCTAGCTGGACAAGCAGCGGGAGAGCAGCAATATCAATGACAAGCTATGCGGTTTTAGCTGGTTAGCCTCCAGCAGTGCCCAAACGGACCCTCTGGAGTCCCCAAGCCTTGGCTCTTGCCAACCTGCGTCAAATATTTTCCAGAATTAGGTAAGCAGGATGCTTCCCTCCAAGGAGGGATTGTGCATTCCAGTCCAACAGTCTTTCTCTGGGATTTCCATGTGTAGGTGGGATTCATTGAATTCTCAGCTTGGTTTGGATATGCTTAAGCATGGTGATAGGTTTCCACATGTGTCAGACACTCGACTGACCAAAAAAAAACTTGTGTTTTTTATGAATTAAGCTATAGTGGTTATTCGTTGAATTTCAGATGAATGACAAACTATTGCTTTGCATTGAATCCCTGTAGGACTGGCAGACCCTTTGGCCTTGACTCAGGCGGTTTCTGCTTTCCAAGGCTGCCATTTAATTGGGATGCCTGAATGCGAGGTACTGTGATCTTTAAATCCTGTTTGCATTGTCATACCTGTCTCACAATCATTATTCTTTTTTGAAATGATCCCATTTTTAAAGAAAAAAAATTAAGCCTTGAGCTAGGTTTTCCTCTCACTCTGCACAGGGTTGTTTACAGCAATGCATTACTTTCAGCCACAGCTTGAAGCATCATAAGCGTGGTGGAGCTTGACCCGTAGACACAGACGAAGAGGAAGGTCTTCAGGCGTGATCTAAAGATAGTTGAGGGGGGAAAGAAAAGTGATTGAGGTATAGTTCTAAAGTTTCTGGGCATAGTGTTTGAAAGCACGGCTGCCAATTGTGGAATGGAGGGAACAAGGGACATGCCAGTTGAGTGAAGGCAAGGGGATAGTGGAGTGCGGAGCAAGCAGGTGTGAGAGGTAGGGAGGTGCCAGGACGTAAAGTGATTTGTACACGAGTGAGAAGATCTTGAAATCAATCCGTTCTGTGATAAAGAGTCAGTGGAGCCCAGCAAGGACTGAGTTGATGGGGTACGGAGTTTTGTGCAGGTGAGGATATAGACAGTGGAATTTAAAATTAATTGGACATTGTAACTGTGGAGCTGGGGAGACCGGCAAGGAAGTCATTGGAAAAATACAGTTCTTACAGTCAACATTCCTGCAATCGTCTATCTTGGGAGTTGAAAACACAGCAAGGAAACAAACGTATTTGCAACGTATTGCAAACAAAAGCAAAATGGTTAATTCAGCTATCATTGAGTTGGACTATTATCTGTCTTTAAAGAACAGAAAATGAACATCCAGGACACAATAAAAGAAATTCACATTCATTTAGCGCCTTCACTTAAAGGTACAGTCTGGGCATCAGAGCCTGGGGTGTGAATCAAGGGGGTGGGAGAGAAAAGATTACTGGAAGCACAGAGTTTAAATGAGATGAAGGAGGGAGCGAGTTGGAGGGAATCTGAGATGGAGTTACAAGGAGTAGGGGCAGATAGCCTGAAAGACAGCTTGCTGATGAGAATACCTGCGGGATAAAAAGGAAGGTTACAAGTCTCTGAAGTGACCAAGCACTCTGTCTATTTTACTAATGGTATGTGAAGTACCTCTTGCTTAAAAGTAACTGACTCCTTTCTATTCCCACAGGTTATTTTAGCACAGTGTGTAATGTACCTCGCCAGAGCTCCGAAGTCTGTGGAGGTATGCGTGGCTTATGGAGCTGTTAAAGACTCGGTGAGGAATCACAAGGGTCCACTGCCTTGTGTCCCCCTGCACCTAAGAAATGCTCCGACCAAACTTATGAAGGATCTTGGCTATGGGAAAGGTTATATACATCCTGGTTTCAGTAAACAAGAGGAGGAACATGGTTAAACTAAACAATAGGCTGTATGTATCATGCAGTCCAATTCAAGCAATACTTCTCCCAATTCTTAATTCTGTCAAAAATAAAACAAGATTCAGAAGTGGGGGGACAAAGATGGAACCGCTGATGATTCCCCACCTGATATTCATATCTTAATTTAATTCTCAGTATTTTCTGGCAGTACCATCTGTACCAACTTGAGCAGGTTGGTGAAAGAAGATAAACACAGAATGTGATTAATAAGAGTGAGTGAAAGTGTGTAAACTAAAATATTTGACTGGATTTATGTTGGTAACTGAGTGATTCTAGTGGATTGTATTAAATCTCCAGCATTTAAACACCATCATGTTTTTTGGACCACTCACAAACCACTCAAAAGAGATTAATAGTCTTCTCGAAATTAGACCAATCATCATACACCACAGCCGGATTGGTGCTGTTTAATGCAGTTGATAACCTCTCAGTCTCTTCAATAGACCTTTCCAGGTTCAAGTCCCACCTCAGATGGCAGCTTGTGGTCCAGACCAATGTGCAGTGTAGTGCTGGGGGAGCATTACATTGTCACAGCTGCCACCTTTCAAATGAGACAATAAACCAAGGTTGTGTCTGCCTGTCAAAGTGAATGTTGAAGATCCCAATTGCACTATTTGGAAAATGGTGTCCTGGCCAACAATCCTCCAGATAAATTGGTCATTCACCTCTTGGCTGTTTGTAGGACCTTGTTGTGCATAAATTGCTGCTGCATTTACAAAATAATAGTCACTATACTTCACAGTAATTTCTTATAAAGGGCTTTGAGGCTTTTAGACTTGAGTTGCTATAATGCAGTATTATTTATAGGTATCTGTATTAAGTCTCAGGTTTACTTCTGAGTTCAGTTTGATGTACTGTGGGACAAATTTTCAGCCTAACAGGATAGATGCGAATGAAGACAGATAAGGAGACTTGAGAGGAAAAAACAAAGACTATGTGGTTCAGTGACTGATTTAAAATTATAACTCATTAGTCAGTAAGTTCACACCCAGGTTAAATTTCTGTTTTGATGTGGTTAGGACATGCTGTCCTTTCATCGCTTGAGTCTTTGGTTTGAATCCATCTCAGACTGACTGGATGAATTTATATTGCAATTTCAAATCTGTATCACGTAACTAAGTAAATAATAGCATGAAATTGCTGCTTGGATATAATAATGTTAATACTCTGTGTCCATACTGCATCTGGGAATTGTATGCTGATATTTCCCAAAGTGGGGGAAAAATTCCTTTCAATAAAATTAATGCCTTTCACCTTGATAGATGCAGAAATCCATCCCCCACTCACCACTCATAAGCTCCAGTTTGTTTAGGTCCTGTTACCTTTTGGCCATTCACTCTTCAACTATTTGAAAGACAATGTCAGGAGTCCTGTAGCTCAGTGGTTAGAGCACTCGCTTTGCAAGTGAGAGACCTGAGTTCAATTCCAGGCAGGGCGAAACCTTGGGCAAGTTTCCTTACTCCACACGCCTAATAATTATCCCTCCAAAACAAAACAATAATAAATTGGTCATTTTCAATCCATGACTGTTTGTGGGACATTGCTGTGCGCAATTGGCTGCCGCGTTCGCCCACAAATATACAGTCAATTCACTTTACAGTATATACTGTGAAGCGCTTTGGGACGTCTAGAAGATATGAAAAGCGCTATATCAAATGCAAGGATTATTATTATAATGTTGTGCGCAAATTGGCTGCCATGTTGGACCTTCAGATGTAGTCAATACACATTGATAAATTCTTGTGAAGCGCCTTGAAACATTTTGACGATATGAATAAGGCATTATATCAAGTAAATTGTTATTCTTACCATGAGTATTACCTCATTCGGTTAGTTGGAGATTCATGGAGAGGAATAAAACAATTCAAAGTTCAGTTTTGTGATCATAATCCAAAGACACAGTTGAGTGTTTCTCTTCATTTATCAGTACTTAATCGTAATAATAATACTTATAGATTAATACAAAGGGTTTAACCTCCATTGCCAACGATTTTTCCATGTGTTTTGAATTTGAATGTTTGCAAGTTTACAAATGCCATTTATGTTGAATGGTTTTCTGGACACTCGATTATTGGAGTTGAAATGTTTATTATACTTTTTTATAAAACAAATAAAGCATTGTTGTACCGGACTTTAATTTTGACTGCTAGTGAGTAAACTACCAAAACACATCATAAAATAGTTACAAAGAAGGCCACGTAATGTCTTCATCATGAATCTCCTGTTCACTAAGAGGAAAGAATTCACAGGATCATAAGATCGGTCTGACTGGAGAAGGCCATCTGATCTCATCCCTCCAAAACATCCACCCTATCATCCCTCATCACCCCGTCAAATTGATTTTTAAATGAGTCCAGTGGCCTGACCTCAACCACCTTTCCTGTCAATCTGTTCCAGTCAACTAACCTTTGCATAAAGAAAACATCCTGGTTTCTGCACTGAAATTGTCTTGACAATCTAAACCTAGGTTCTTTCGTTTACATACATGCTGTACCCTAAAGTATTGATCTGGGTTTTTTCAATCTCATTTAAAATTTTATACACCTCTATGAGGTCCCCTCTGAGTCATCTTCTTGGACTGAAGGTTAATTTGACTTATTTATTGCTGCCTTACACTAGTTGGACCTTGTCAACTTGTCGATGAGTCAACTAACATTGCCTAAAACACCCTGTTTCTCTGCCCTTCCATTCCATTAGATTCCCTTCTATACAAAATATATTTCTAGGGCTTCTTATAACCTGCAGTTTTGAAACACGACATAGATACAAAAAATGCCATGAACACATAATGGGTAGCTTCTTTATAATGTAATGTGACAACTTCACATTCTAACCTGCTTTAATTTAGGAAACAAATCCCGAAGAGTCAATCTGAGGAACTGCAAAAATTGGCCGATTTGGTTTTGAATGTATTGTATGGACTGAATGTATTGCTCTTCCATTGAACTTCCACAGCTCTTCCATAAAACCAGCACAGATAGAGCCAAATAGGCATCTTCTGTTCTGTAATTTTTTGGGTTCTACGTTCTTGCTCCCCCCTACCTCTCCGACCTCCTAACCCCATATTAACTTGTCCACTCCCTCCTGCTTCAGGTCCCCCGCACCTCCCGCCCCACCATTGGCAGTTGGGCATTCAGCAGCTCTGCCCCCACACTCTGGAACTCTACCCCACAATCCCTCTGCCTTACCCCCTCTCTTGCCTCCTTCAAGACCCATCTAAAGACCTATCTCTTCGACGATGCCTTCAGCCATTCTCCCACCCCCACCCCTCTCGCCCTCCACCCCTCCTGACCCCAACTCCCAGCTCGGGTCCAAAAAAACCCTGACTGTCCAGCGACCTGGGACATCTTTCCGATGTGAAGGACACTACACAAGTGTAATTTGTTTATTGTTGTTGTATAAGGCTGTGGGCAGCCTAGGCACCAGCTTATCTGCACCTGTGACAATCATTTTCTGTTATAGCCGCTTGAATTGCAAGTTGGATAGGAGCCATTGGAGCTGCTTGCCAAGAGCGACTATCAGATATCACAAGGAAAGCTAAGCTGAAGAAGTTGCCCAATGTATAGATTGAGACTCCAGATTTACTGTGCTACAACTTGGAAAAGCTAATGTGGTGCACAATTTCATTTAAAATATAGAATCACAGAATTATATAGCACAGAAGGAGACCATTTGGCCCATTGTGTCTATGCCGGCTCTTTTAAAAGAGCTATCCAAATCAATCCCATTCCCCCTCTCCCCAAAGCCCTGCAAATTTGTCCTCCCCAAATAATTATCTACTCTCTTAAAAGTTGTTATCGAATTGGCTTCCACCACCCTTTCATGCAATGCATTCCAGATCCGAACAACTCGCTGTGTGAAAAAAATTCTCCTTACCTCCCCTCTGTTTCTTTTAACAACGATTTTAAATCTGTGTCCTCGGGTTACCAACTCATCCGCCAGTGGAAATAGCTTCTCCGATTGAATCCCCTCATCATTTTGGAAACTTCTATCAAGTCTTCTCTTAACCTTTTCTGTTCCAAGGAGAAAACATTACTGATTTAAATCATTTTTGCTTGTCTTTGGTTGTTTGCATTAGCACTTTTACTTGAATAATACGATAATAGACACTTGCTCTTGTAAGGATGTAAGCCACAAAAATAAATGTTAACACAGTTTATCAACGGCGACTGTTCTGTTCAGTAGAGAGAGTGACGTATCTTCCCACTTCACATTTTGCCCCAATATGTGTGTTTTTTTAAAAAAAAACAAATAAAAGATAAAGTACAAAAAAGCTTCAGTCTGTCAGCCTGTCACTCGAACACAAGTACAAATAATACAGTTTACATTTATATAGCGCCTTTCATGTTGGGAGATAGTCTCAAAGCACTTACTATTTTACTATTTTAAGATGGAGAAATGGAAAATTGTACAGTATAAAAGATAAATCGATGCCCAATTTAGCAACAAAGATGTCGGCTGTTAATGGCTTCAGCCAGTTTTGCTCAACCACCAGTATTAACTCAAACTGTATGCTATTCATTATCATGTTGAAACTATTATAAAGTACGGCATTTTTCACCCCACGAGGTGTCAGAAAATATCATAATTCTGACTACCTTGCTGTTTAAAGCACTGATCCATACAATTGAAAATATTGCTAAATAGTATAACCACTGGCCATATGATACATTATAGATACTGTATCTATGTTCAAAGGCAATGGGATCTTATTTGTATATCCAGTAATCTTTACATCTGATATAGTACATTTCACATCAGGAGTATGTTTCAAAGGATATTCTGTAAAGTGGAACAACTATTTTGTAAACAAATGCAGAAGCCAATTTGCACACAGCAATGTCTCACAGACAGCCATGAAGCAAATAACCAATTTCATTTTAGGGTTTGTGTTAGCATGGCTCAGTTTCACATCTGAGTCAGCAGGTTATGGTTCAAGCGTCACGTTGGGACTTGGAACCCACATATCTATGCTGACACTCCAGGGCAGCGCTGTGGGGGACTGCTTCGGAGGTGGTGTTCTTCAGATTAGGCATTAAACCAAGGTCCTGTGTGCCTGTTCAGATAGCCGTTAAACATCCCATGGCACTAAAGAGAAGGGATTTTCTCCTGGTATAGTGACCAACGATCCCTCTAAATAAAAAAAGTCACTTACTCTATGTCTGCTTGTGGAACATTGCTGAGTGGAAATTGGCTGCTGCATTTACTGACAAAAATACGCAGTCATTTTATAGTATATCCTATGAAGTGCTTTGAGACATCTTGGCAACATGCAAGGATTAATTTAAAACAGATTGCTGGGCAGATTCTCAACAGGAGAATCTCCCTTCTCTTTTTGAATAGTGCAATGGGATGTTTAATATCCACCTGACCAGGAAAACAGTACCTTTGTTCATAGGAACACAGAAACAAGAGTAGGCTGTTCAGTCCCTCAAGCCCGTTCCGCCATTTTATAAGATCATGGCTGATCTGTACCTCAAGTCCAGTTACCGCCCCCTTGCCCCATATCCCTTAATACCCTAATCTAACAAATATCTATAGGAACATAGGATTAGAATTAGGTTTTTACCCCCTCAAGACTGTTCCACCATTTTATTAGATCATGACTGATCTCCATTTACCACCTTTTCTCCATATCCCTTGATACCCTTACTTAACAAATATCTATCAATGTCAGACTTGGATATTCCAATTGACCCAGTATCCAATTGACACAGCCTTTTGGGGGAAAGAATTTCAGATTTTCACAACCATTTGTGTGAAAAAAATTGTTCAATGTCTCATCCAACAATGTAGAATAGCACCAACTCAGCACTGGAATATGAGCCTAGACTATATGAGCTGATTATGGGACTTGAACTTACATCCTTCTAACTCAGAAAGCGACCAAGGCTGACACTCATTTACAAAATCTCCACTCAAGTGACGTAAAGTTGAGATACTTTGCCATTCAGGTTACAAAGTATACAAACTACACTTAGATTCTGGGCAAAGGCTGAAGTTTTAACGATATTATTTTTGTCCTTATACATCTAAAAGGGTATAGTCTCCAAGATTTTCATAGGCTTGGAAAAGTGCTCACTTGGAAAACCACAGGGTATATGGCATCTCAACTGGAAAAAGAGCAGCGGTACGTGAAGTGCATTTCCTGCAGCAAACCTTTGTAAATTAGGCCAACTCACGAAAACTCATCTCTTTCCTGAGACTACTCGGAGCCAATTTCTAAGTTTGCCATGACGTACATGGGGTACTCTGCAGGAGACATACTCTATGCTTTTACAGGTGGGAGATTCTGTTTATGCTGCTGTTTTTCCATTAAGTGTTTATTTAACCCTTATATCAGCAGAGATGAGCAATGTTATTATTGGCAGTATAATAACATTTTCACATAACCAACCACT